GCTCTTCCGATCTCCCCGGATCGAATTTCCTTTAAGTAGTCGGCAGACAGTGTTTTCTAAATGCTTCAAGCTTGTTAAGATGCTCTCTTTTGTAAAATCTTTTACCACAGTTTGTGTTAACTGACATGTCTTTATCATATTTCTCATTTGCAAGTACCTGAAAAAAAATGTTGCCGTCTTTGCAAAACATTTTCCATCATAAGCTTATTAGGGTATTCAGATGTTTTGTTATCACCTTCTGTCAAAGGCAATAGAGTAATTCTGTTTTTGCTTGTACCAGTACGAGTGTGTGTTCATTTGTCTGAACCACTGAACAGATTTTAACGAAAGCTATTACAGATTAAATGTTTATTGAGCTTTGCTCATCTGTTGTTTTCTTACCATGACCTTACAAAAGCCACTTCATCCATCCAACCATTTTTTTTACCTGCTTTTTCCATTTTGGGTTCACAAAGAGCTGGTGCAGCCATTGTTCAAAAGGTGTGGTACAAGATGGACAAGTCTGAAGTCCAAAAAAATGACTTCTAAATGAAATCATGAGATGGTCAAACTTATGCAAGATGCACCTTGCTTGTCCTTTTTTCCAAAATTACACAGAACAAAAGCAACATACTAATTTTGCCTTTAAGTTTAATTTTTTTTTATTTGTTTTGTCATTTTACAGATCAGTTCAAGTTAACTATCAACACACATACAAATCATAAGAAGCTCTTTTGCATGCCCTTTTATTTAATTTGACAATTTTCCTAATGAGACATTTTGATTTACTTCTTGTCTTATAATTGATACTTATACTGGCCACAACTCATAATAATAATAATTAAAAAAAAGATCCTAGAGATCAAAAGTAAATCATAAAATCTTATTTACAGGGAGTCTTACACACAATGCATAAGTGCAAATTTGCCTGAAATAATGAATATGACAATAGCATTAGTGTCACATAAAATATGAAGAAATAGCCCGCTGTAGTGATGGACGGTGTTTAGCTAACGAGGAGCCGGCTAAATGATCACTATTCAAAGTAGGTCAACCAAACTCTCTCCCGTTTCAATGTAATTACAATCATTTCTGCTAAAGACAGGCCTTCACATTGAAGAAGCTATTTTTCCCCCTGACAGAGAAATAATCAGTATTAAGTTGTTCCTCGCTCACAATCCAATAGTTAAGTTCAGGATGGAACAGCGGCGCTGACAAGCAGTTGGCCTCAGTTATTAAAGTCCACTCCAGAAGGCAGTTAAATAGGCAACGACACAAAGAGACTGTGTCATCACCACCACCCCGATGGAGGCTGTGAGTGTATTTAAATGTGTTTGCTCTGCTGTTAATGCAGGCTGAGAGGGTGCATCCTTCTGTGTGCGTGTGTGCATGTGTGTGTGTGTGTGGGAGTGTTTGTTCTCCAGCCTGAGAGGTTGGAAGGTCAGCAAAGCGAACTGGCCTGCTATTGTTTAAAGGAAATCGCATCTCACGCATGACTGTGGGACGATTATTTGGGTTGATGGGACATCAGGGGAAACACACATGAGTACACAACCGCACAAGAACAAACACATACACACAAGAATAAAGACGGCATATGAGACAAGCTGGGAACCGTGCATGACAGGAGGGTGCGTGATGTAAATAACATGTGAAAACCATCAAAATAGCTCCGTCCAACAGTCACCTAGTCTTTTATGACAACTGCTGGCTGCAAATCATGACTTGTCTTGTTCGAAAATCCAGGCTGACAACAGCTCTCTGTGATGCATTTGTGTGTGCTGACAGTTAAATCTTCATTTCATATCTCCCCAAACTTAAAAGACTTAAAGGAGAGAATGTTGATGATGCTGGGAATTTTTAGCATCAAATTTTCTGGCATGTGCCTCTTAACATTTTGTGCTTTTATAAATGATCAGCTGCCACCCAAAGGGCGATGGCAGGTGAAGTGTCATATTGGAAGAAAGGGAATTTGTTTAAGTGTGTCACGGCCAATTTGATCTCTGAAGTTGAACAGCTTGTGTGAATCAATGTTTTTGTGGGGGGGTTTTGGCAGCTTGAGCTGCATCTCACGCAGCTTTTCTTCAAAAGCTTCCTCTGTCTGTGAGGCAGAGCATCAAGGTTAGACTCAAAGCTCCAACTCTGACAGTCAGAGCTGCAGGCTCCACAGTCTTTAGCCAATAATGATACAGTGCACGTGTATACATGTGGGAAAGACAACCCCCCTGAGATATTTATGTACTGCAACCTAAAAAAAACTCAGTTTCATTGTGAACTGTGTATTTAGAAAGAGAAGAAAACGCATAAGAGAAATATGTAGCAGTTTTGTGTCAAATTTAAAAGCACAGCATTTAATATTTTTATGATAATAACAGAACGTTCTTACGTACTTCCAGTACATTTGAGGTTTTTAATATGATTTAAAGGTAAAACTTGGAAAAGTAAAAGTATGACTATGTTTTCATTTAAGAAAAGGAAAACAGTGTTTGTAACATTTGCATGTAAATTATAGTTACACAAAACAGAGAAATAAACAAAAAACTGTGGGAAACGCCACATTTTCAGTTTAAATGGCAAACTATGATAAATGTTTGTTAAACTCACACGTTACATGAAAA